TTCCTCCCTCCCCATCAGTGGTCCAGGGCAGACCACAGATCAACAAGAATCAAGAAGACAGAATCAAACAAGATCAACAGAATCAAGAAGAAAAGACGACCTATAAGAGAGCAACGACACTGCTTCTCTGCGCCTCCATTCACACCATTTGCTGGTGATGTTGCACCTTCCTCTGTCAAAGGGCAGAGTCTGTCTCCCCATTCTCTGGGTAGTTTCAGACATGTGACTGACTTTGTCCAATAAAATGAAATATTCTAATGCAAACAAGAACTTGCCCATCCCAGCCTCACCCTCAAAAGGTGGCAGCTGATTCCACTTGGTGTCTTGCACCTGGATTGTCACCATGGAAAGGGCATGTCTCAGCTGAAGGAGGAGGAGGAGAGATAGGTAGAGCAAGGCACTCCTAGCTGATTCTACACTAGATTAGGTGACACCTAGCCTCATGAAAAATAATTACTGTTAGCTGGTTTAAGTCACTGAGGTTTGGGGGGTTACCTGTTACACAGCAATAGCTAACTGATACACCTAATACAAAATTAGACATATGAATAGGTATTTTATAATATTTTGCTCTTGGGCTGACACATAACTAAAAACAAACATTTGGACAGAGAACAGACAGTTCACAGACGGGCATACTAATGACCAATAAGCAAACTATAAACTCATTCTCTCTAACAATCAAGGAATCTGAATCACTCATAAAATGCTGTTTTCCACTGACCAAACAGCAAAGATAAATAGACACATATGGTAGTATCATGTACTGGCAAGAATGGAGGAAACAGAAACTCACATCAAGTTGATGGTTGTGAAAATTGGTACAGTACTTTGGGAGTTAATTTAGTAGCATTAGAGAAATTGATAATGCGTGTATCCTTTGACCCAGTAATTGTACTCCTTGACACCTACCCAAGAGACACTCTGGCTTCTGTTACTCAGTTTTGTATTACTGCAATGAAATACCTGAGATAATTCATTTCTACAGAGAAAAGGTTTATTTTGGCTCATAGTTCTGAAGATTCTGGTTCAAGATCAGGCAGCTCATTGCTTTGGGCCTCAGGCAAGGGCAGAGCCTCATGGTGGGGGTGGGCGGTGCTTGGTGGGGTTTTTGTCATAAGTCAGCAAAGCGAAGGGACAGGTGGGTCTCAGTCTCGTCTGGGATACCCGCCCCCGCCCCAGTGACCTATGGGACTCCCACAAGGCCCTGCCTCCTGAAGTTCTACTTCCTCCCAGTAGCACCACCCTGTGGACCATGCCTCCAACAAATGGACTTCTGGGGGAACATTCAACATCAAACCACAGCAGTTCTCATGGTGTCTTGTGCAGACATGATTATGGAGTATCCAGGAGATAGCCCCAGGCTGAGCTGCTGGGGGGGGGGGAACTGAGGTGGGGCCCTGGCTCCCTCCCCTCCCATGGCAAATGACCGGCCCCAGCAGAGGACAAACTCCGACATGGTGCATATGGATTCAATTCTCAGTTCTGTCCCTTGGCAGCCATGTGATAAAGGCAAGGAACTTCACCCTGCTATGCCTCAGTTTCCTCCTCTGTAAGCACCATCCCTGGGCTGTGGAGTGGACTGGTGAACCACTCAACAGCCACCCTAAGAGCATCCTCCTGTGTGGTCCCCACCAGGAAGGACAGTGACAGGTGTGTCCTCTACAACCACATTCCTGCCCTCCCTCCCAGCACCCCCTAGCATGTGGCTGACTGCACCTCTGCCCCACAGATCTGGAAGTCGGTGTGCAGGGAAGAGAAGGCCCTGGGAAGAGAAGGGTCTCATCGCCTACCTATGCCTTTTGTCTTCAGAGCCTCCTGCCTGGGGCCAGGGACCCCCAGTAAACCCTGTCCTGCCAGGACAGGCTGAGGGGGCTGTACCAGAGTGTGACCAGGAAAGAATGGAGCTGAAGAGAGGAGAGCAAGTGATAGAAAATCTACCCTAAATGGATTCAGGTGGTGCCTGAGTGTTTCCGTCATCTACTGCTGTGATAATGCTGCTTAACAAACAGTCCTCAAGGTCAGGGGCTTTAAACAATGATTATCATTCTCTTAGTCTTGGGTCTGCAGATTGATGGATCTGAGATGGGCAGACATGCTTCCTTTTCAGACTTGGGTCCTTTCTAGGTCTCTTTCTGTTGGCCAAGGGAAGTCCCATGGCCAGTGCAACTTAGGGGGGCAGGAGGAGCTGCAGAGCCTCCCTCAAGAGAGTGTGGTGGGCTGGGAACAGGGGCGTAGTCTGCCACCTGCTCCCTGCTGAAAGCCACACTGGGTGGTAGGCAGGACAGATGGCAGGAGGGCCACTCTGGAGGCAAGGGAACTCCTATAAACCCAAAGAGGTAAGACACTTTCTCTGTAGCTCCAGGATGTGGTGGGCCTATGTTTACCACTGGCCCCTACATTCTAGGTATTTTCACTAGTCTAGAATTCTGCTGCTTGGACCCAGTTCTGTGCCCTTTCTGAGCCAGCATGTCAGACTTGGAGATGGAAGGCTTCCAGGACGCCCGAGGCGGCAGGACATACATGTGTGCAAATGCAGAGGAACAGAGAGACAGACAAGAGGCCAGGGACAGGGAGAGAGGGGGAGGAAGGAGGGAGGGAGAGACAGGGAGAGAGAGAAAAGGAGGCAAGAAGGAGTTAGTTAATTTTTGATCAAACTCGGGGATACTAGAGAAACACCCTCCACACAGTCCCGTATTTTTAGCGCTAAGTGGTGCTAAAAGCATTTGCTGGTGCCCGTTAGAGCAGGAGAGCCGCTTAGTTAGGGAGCAGAAGCTACGCTGTGCTGTGTCACTTCGGTTTCTCACTGTGCCTCGCCCCGTGAGTGCACTTGCTGGCAAGATCGGCCGCTTCCCCCTACACTCGCGTTTGTTGTCTCTGAGTTGCTTTAAAAGGATGCTCGCCCCTGGGGAGAGCATCACACGGCACAGCGCACAGCCCACAGCATCTGAGGTGGGGAAAGCAGGACGCCAAGCCATTTCTGTTTCATCCAAAAGGAGCCCAGGCAGTCAGCTTCCAGGAGTCCAGGGGACCCTGAAGGATTCTTGTGCACAGGCCTGAGATGTCCTTATTCCTCAGCAGGAGACAGGACACCTTGGGTCTTGGCAGCCTCCTTGTGTCCTGAGGGGCCCTGCCTAGGGCAATGCTGACATCTAAGGAGTGTGCGCTGCACCACGCGGCTGTGTGCAGCATCCGGCACTCGCTGAGTTTGTTCCAGGCCTTCCCGGGTGGTCTGGGAGCCGTTAGGTCAGGCCTGTCCTACCAGCTGGGCAAGGCGGTAGGGTCAGAGGACGGTGACACAGGAGGGCAGAGCTACGGAATCAGAGGCCCGTGGGCCTGCAAGATCCCCAACTGGGGCTCTCGCGGCACGCCCAGAGCCTTCCTCTCAGGGGTGGGCCTCCCCCGCATCTTCCCCTGTGAGAGTCTGGCTGGGCACTTCCTCCCCGGCTGGAGATGCCACAGTGGGAATCGGGAGGCAGGTCAAAAGGGCAGGCCTGGGAGACCTCAGAGCCTGGGGGTGTGGGCAGTGGGACAGACAGCAGGGCTGAAGGGAGCCGGGAGGAGAGCCAGCCAGCGGAAGGGAAGGCCCTGAGACAGAGGGCTCTGCTCTCACCCAGGGTTGGGCTCTTAGGGGTTACAGGGGAGGAAGGAAGGCTGTGCCACCCCAGGAGGCCTGCGCAGAAATGACCACACTCCGCCTAAGAAATTATACAGACTTTATTAAATAAAACAAGGAGAAGGGACCTTATGGACATCCAGGTTGTCAGTGTGAGCTCAGGTAGTAGGCAAGGCACGAGGCGTCTGCTCTCCAGCTTCCAGACGTCACCGCGGCCCGGCCGGAAGGACCGAGGAGGTTTACACCCAACCTCCAGAGGCAGATGGGCCCTGTGGAGTCCGTGTTGTGCTGTCTCCATGTGGCCGGCTCTAGGCAGCCTCCAGGTCTCCCTGACGGCGGCACGGCTTCCTGGCTCAGAGCAGGAGTCCGGTATTCCCCAGGTCTCAGAGCTGACAGGAGCTGGGCAGAGGAGGGCTCCTGGCTGTCCTTCCTGGAGGGCAGGCTGCTCCGGGGCCTGCTGAGTGGCTTCCTGGGCCTGGGCTGAGCAGGAAGAGGCCACTTCCTCTGTGGCTGGGTGGCAAAGGCTCAGATCTGCTGAGGTACTGCAGCGTCCCACCTACGCAGGGACAGGTGAGGCTGGGTCTTTGTGCTGAGGTGGAACGCAGTGGCTTCACAGGATAAATGGGGTGGGAGGTCCCTGCCACCAGCCTGAGGATACCCCCACACTGCGGAGGAGCTGGGGACAGAGCAGCAGGGTCCCCACTGAGGACGGCCCAGAAGGGATGAAGCCACATCCACCAGGTGCTTCAACAGGTTCTGAAGCACAGGACCAGAGGACGGAAGGCTTTTCACAGTCGTGTGAGGGCTCAGCTATCCAGAGGCTCGGGGTGCTGTAATCCTAAGGCTGAGGCGGGCAGGCCCAGGGCAGTCATGTCCATTCGCCCCGATATTTCCTAGCAGCAGCCAGACTAGGAGTTTTCACAGGGAGAGAGCTCACAACAAGAGCCGGAAGGTAACTCAGTGGTGGAGCACTTGCCTAGCATGCTTGAGGCCCTGGGTTCCATCCCCAGTACCACACAGACACACAGACACACAGACACACACACACACACACACACACACACACACGTGCGCGCATGCGCCCCAAACCCCCAAAGCAACTAGAAAATCCTTTCCCTGAGACCACTACAGTAACATCATCTTCAGACACCTTCTAACTAGAGTTTGCAACTGTCCCAAGTCTTTTGGAGAGAGTGGCAGTAGCAATGCTAAGAAAATCAAAACACAGTTGGAACAGTGTCCAAAAATCCTAGACAGCCGTGCATAAAGGAATGAGCCAGCCAGTCCTAGCTTTGCAAGGCTTGGAAGGGCAATTCTGTTGTTTGAGACAGGGTCTTGCTGTATGGGCTGGGCTGGTCTCGAACTTCCTCTCCTCCTGACTCAGCCTCCTGCGTGCTGGAGTTACAAGTGTGTGCCGCCACACCCAGCTCCGGAGGGGAATTATAAAAAACAAACTTAAAACTCCTACGTACACAAATAAGCTAATAAGCAACTAGAACTCCGCTTTGCGAAAGCAAAGGGGCAGCGAGGGTGGCTATGGCACAGGTGCATGGGACTTCGGGCCTTGTTCCAGCACGAACGTGGCAGCGGTGTCCCTGTCACCAAGGCGTCTGTGGGGAGCTGCCATCAGCACCAGACTCTGGACTCTCTAGCGGGAGGCGTAGGCTGGGCTCCAGAGCCCCGAGGGAGGACTGGCTTTGCGAGCGGGAAGCAGGTCGTTGAAAGGGTTGGGTGACGAGGCAGCGAAATCTAGGGAGGAGACAGGAAGTGAGCAGTGCGGGTCACTGGACATTTCTCCAATACTCATCAGCCAGCTCTAGTGTCTCTGAAGTGCTTGCTACATGCTTGGGACACTTTCCTAACCCAGACCACAGGCTGCCCTGAGAGCCTGTAGAGCTGACACGTGAGGAGAGGACACTGGATCCGCAGGGCTCAACCTATGCAACTGTCTGGAGCAGTCCTTGCGTCTCCTGATCCCGCTCGAGGGTCCTCTGCCCCGCACAAGATAGCCTGGAGCAAGCTCCTAAGGGTCTGATGGGGGCCTTGCAGGCTAGAATGGCGCCTAGGCATGTTTTGAAAGAGCACATGGTTTTGTGGAAGGAAGCCCTGCTCTGGGGAGTAAGACCCCACACACAGCGGGTGCCCTGGACTCAGCCTCCTGCTGCAGGCTCTCGGGTGTGAGGGTGCCCAGGAGCTCCTGGACTGCCCAGAGGATTCTGTTGCAGCTCTGATGTGCCATGCAGATCCTGCAGGGGTGCTAACCTGTTTGATGGTGCCTGGGTTTGTGGAAGTCACCCCGAGGTCTCTGCACTGTCCCCAGACGACCTGGAGCCCTCGCTCCTCCAATAGGCTCCGCCTGAGGTCCGGGCACACCAGATGGGCTGGCCCTGTCCCCTGTGTACCCCAAGGACAGACAGGGCTCAGAGCTTGAACCCTCCTCCAGCTAAGGCTGGGCCTGGCGGTGCCTGCAGCTAGGGGTGCTACTCACAGTGCAGGCTGTGCTGCGGGCTGGCTTGGGGTGTGAGGGCCTGAGGTGCAGCAAGCTCCCGGGGTGTGGAGACCGTGTGGTAGGCTGCAAGAAGCACAGCTGGTTAAGGCGGGAAGGGACGGGACAGCCCACCTGGAAACGCAGGCGCCTGCCTTACCTATGATCATGACTGCAGTCCCAGCCAGCAGGGCAAAGAGCGTGAAGAACATGACTTGGTAGGAATCGAGGAAGTGCTGAAAGAGGCTGCTGCCATCTGCAGCGAAGAGAGTGGTCAGCACGCCCCCGGGTCCCAGGGGCGTCCCCCAGTGATCCTGTGCCTCGAGGCACCCACGGGGTCCCACCCAACCCTGCCGCAGGGGTCGGGGGACAGCGAGTGCAAGCCAGCCTTAGGCAGGCGGAAGGGAGGTTCCCAGGGTGCGGGGCCTGCCCAGGGCTGGGCGAGTCCTGCGCTGTTGCCCTGGGGCTCCAGCTCCTCCTCCTGGAGCCTGTTCTGTCAAGACTGGGTCTCCCTGTGGCGGCGCTCTCCTGCACCACCCAAGGTTGGCAGGTGAGCTTCCGTGCCTGTCTGTGGGGAGGACCAGGCTGCTCCGAAGGCAAGGGAGGCAGTTCTGACACGCCAGGGCGCTCAGCCTGGGGGACCACGGGGAGCCCAGTGCGTCCAGGCCAAAGCTGTGCTTGCCCGGGAGCTGAGCCAGGAACAGCTTCCTCCTCCCCTTGCCTGTCCTCAGCCCCACACTCAGACCCCATCCAGCACCAAGCACTGCCTTCTGTGCCCTCCGCCACCACCCTGAGCCAGGAAACAGGCTGGGGCTCCTCACTCAGCGGGGGACAGGGCCTGCTTACCCTCCTCCAGCCACTCCTAACCAGGCGGCCAGCGCCACCCACCCCCTGCTCTGCCCTGTTCAGGAAAAAGCACCGCGTGCCCACCCCAGGGTCTGTCGAGCCGGCTGCTCGGCCCTGACCTGGCCACCCATCCTTGAACCCCAGTGACACAGGCCTTCTGTGCTGTCCCCTGCTCCCCACAGAGGGCACACGAAGCCCTTTCCTCAGCACAGCTTCAGAATCATTCTCTCCGCTCGCGCCTGCAATTGTGAGTCCTCTCCGCAAGGCACTAACTTTCGACAAGTGCCAAGCAGTGACTATGAAATAAGCGACCCCCTTCACCCAGCGGTGCGCGTTCACCGAGCTCCGAGCATGTGTCAGGCCTGCTGTAAGCGCTATCCCCGCATACCTAGCCTCTGGGAGCAGGTGTTGAGCAGGGACCGTAAGAAGTAACTGTTTACCCTCAAGACTGACAGCTGGCAGCTGTGCAAGAGGGGAAAAAAAAAGGGCCAGGTGTTGGGAATGCAGCTGGAATTCTCAGTATGAGCCCAGATGCAGTATTTGAGGGTGGGTTTGCAGGAGGTAAGGGTGCCGGTGGAGGCCAAGAGCTCAAGTTCTGGAAAAGGGCAGAATGTGGTGGAGCAGGGGCCCTGGAGGTGAGTCGGGGTGGATGAGGTACCACAGGCCTAGAGACTTGGGGCCACCGCAGGGACTGGGGCTGTGCCTGGGGCAGTGGGGCTGTGTGGGCTGCTAAGCAGAGGCGGCTGCCTTGTTGGGAGTAGCCAGGGCAGTGGGGAAGCAGTCCTGGTCACCTTGAGGACCATCTGTACCTGGACTCCTCCATTTTCACACTGCAGGTTTCCACTGGTACCCGAGACTGAGCCGGCCCGTCCCTCCCTGCCCCACTCTGTGACTCACAGGGGCCAGGCCCACGGCGGTCCATCACAAAGGCCACGGTGACAGGGATGGTGAGGGCCTGGTCAGTGACGGGGCTGGAGAAGGTCAGGGCTGTGGACAGAGGCCCCTGGCTGCCGGCCGCAGGGTCCGAGATGCCAACTATGAATGTGACAAAGCTGGGCAGCCCCAGAGATTTCTCCTTCTCGAAGGCCAGCACGGCTGGGGACCCAGACTTCACCTGGAAGAAAAGTCAGGGCTGGAGCTGTGCGCTCTGCATAGTGGGCCACCTGGGCCAGCAGCCGTTGAGCTGGACACAGGGCACTGCCTTCCAGGGCCCAGGCCACACCTCCCAGACACAGGTACTGAGGATACTTTTCACAGATAGCACGTGGCCTGCAAAGCCAGGAAGCACTGCCTACACTTGGGGTGTTACACATCAGCACCATGGAAGTCTAAACAGCATTATTTTTAAAAATCACTAAACCAACATGCAGTAGCAGCCTCCAAGGGAGCAGCCTGGGGCTCTGTGTGCAGCCTCTCTAGTGACGGTTCCCGCCCAGGCCTGGTGGCCCCCGCTAGCAACTACGCCTCACTCCTGGTCCCTGTCAGGAGCAGTGGCCACTGCAGGACAGCGGAGGACAAGCAGAAGAGCTGGCAAGCCCTCCGGCCCATCCCCTCCACGGCTCCGCAGACTTACGGGCTTCAGGCCTCGGGGCCCCTTCACTCCAGTGCAGCAGATGGAAGGGAGGATGGAAAAAGGGTGCTCGTCCCCAGGGGGAGTCAGAGCAGCATGTGAACTCGTCCATCCATCATACTGAATTCTAAGCACACTCTGAACTTCCAGTTGCAGATAAAATAATTACCACAATTACACAGGTGGCTGGCATGGGGGTGCATGGCTGTGATCCTAGCTCCTTAGGAGGCTGAGGCAGGAAGAAGCCAAGTTTGAAGAAGCCAGGGCAGGTACCTTCTCAAGACCTTTTCTTAAAGTAAAATTTTTAAAAAGGATTGGGAATGTAGCTCAGTAAAGTGCTTGCCCAGCATGTGTGAGGCCTTGAGTTGAATTCCCAGTAGCACCAAAAATTTTTAAAAAATTTACTTAGATGAGTAGAGGAAACTGGTGTTAAGGAAAATCAGTAAAGGTAAGAGTGTTTTGAATTTTAAAAAGTCCAAGCCAAGTGTGGTGGTGCGCATCTATTATCCCAGGACTTGGGTAGCTGAAGCCGGGGGATCATGAGCTCCAAGCTGGCCTGGACTACAGTGGGATGCTGTCTCAAAAATATAAGTATCATTTTAATTTTAATTTTAAAGAGATGTGGCCTTGACCCCCCACTCCTGGTTCTTTTCCATGACCCTGGCTCTGGCCTGCGCAGAAATGCAGGGATGCCTCACCTCCAAGCTCTCCAGGGTCTCCACGGCACCAAAGACCTTAACCTCGGAGCTGGTGTACTGATTGCTCAAAAGGATTTCAGCCTGGTCAGTGTAGAGCCCGGGGCTGAAGGACACCTCTGCCTCGACCTGCTCTGGAGAGAAGTGGCTGCCGGGGATGGAGGCCGTGACCACCAGCGTTGTTGTCTTGGTGCTCAGGCGCTTCAGCTGCATGTCTGTCAGTCTGAGCACGGTGACTGAGCAGAAGTACTGGCCTGCAGAGACAGCAGCACGCCGCCTGTGTCCTCCACCCCTGTACACGGACACTGCCCCCATCCCTGCTCCTCTCACCGGGGAACTCCCACACAGCCTCCAGACCCCGGGTGAGAAGTTGCCTCCTCCAGAAGGCTTTCTGGCAGTCCCCCGCTTGGAACCCTCTCTGTGACCGATGGTCCCCCTCACTATTTCAGAACCCCAGGCCCCCAGCTGAGTGGTGCTCCTGGGGCAGGAAGCAATCAGAGCCAGCCTGACCAAGGAGGAGCACAAATAAACAGCAGATAGGTGCTATGCCCTGATGTGGGGCTGCGGGTCCACCCAGGGTTGACTCCGAGATGGCCGGCATCCTGCTGCAGCTGGGGGCTCTGTGACCTGTCACTGTTTGGACTCCAGTCCTAGCCTCCGTGCTGACCCACTAGACAAACAGGTACTTGGGAAGACACCAGGGACCTGGATGCCTGGGTTTGGCCCCTTCCATGCCGGGGGAAGCCAACCTCCTACAGTCTGCTGTGGGAGATCCAAGCCTGGGCCCAGTGCCCAGGTATCCACAGGACACATCTGCAATCCAGCAGACACCGCACCCCTTGGCCAGTACACGGTGGGGCCAGGCTTGTGCTGGCCTTCGGTTCTATGCTCTGGCTCCCTGGGCTATAAAACAGCTACACCCCACCACGTGCCTGGTACAGTCCCTGACTACTTAATAAACAGGCCTCCACCAATCCTCACCGAGGCAGGGTGAGGCACCACTGTCCTCCTTTCAAGGAGAGGTGGCTTAGCAGGGAACAGCCTTATCCCCAAAGGAAAATGGCCAGCACTAGAGAAAGGGACCCAGCCTGGGTTTGGGGGCTCTGCATCCTTTCTCCTGGGTGTGGGCGGCAGTGGAAAGCCAGCCGTGACCCAGCTCAGGAAGGCCAACCATTCCTCATGCCCCGAGGGCCCAAAGAGGCCAGGGCCCTGGGGCAACCCCTGAGCTGGATTCCCAACAACTTCCACCTGTTGGACAGACGGCCACCATGAGCCACAGAGGCCCCAGAGGCCCACAAGACAGAAGTGCACTTTCAGATCTCTGCAGGTTTACCTAGAGCAGCGTCAAACCCTGGCTTGACAGTGAAGACGTCCTGTGCTGGGAAACTGAAGACGTCTTGCTTGAACCAGAACTGGCAGCTGATAAGCGACTCGGGGTGCAGAGTTTCGATGACTTCCTTCTGCATGGGTGAACACTCACCTGCAGAGGGGGAGGTAGTAAGGAGGGCTGCACGAGGGCTGGTGGGGCTGCAGATGGCATCTGTGCCCATATTTCTTCCCCAAACTGGCAGCCTGGGCCACCTGCAGCTCGGTGAGGGATGCCTTGGCTTTGCACAGAAACTGAGGGTAAGTTATACAGAAGAAGGTCATCCAGAACCCGGGTAATTTCAGCTTGGAATTCTGCATGGGCTCTGAGCTGGCAGTGAGGGCCACAGCTGATGGCCGGGCACAGTGACGCACATCATGTGCTCCTGACCCCAGGGGTAATGAGCGATTTATTTCCGGACATGAGGAGGGTACTAGTTCTCCACAAATACCCTGAGAACCACTTCGGTGGCAGCAGAATATTGTCCACTTGCATGAAGGCAGGAAAGGAGACACTGACCACCGTGCAATGAGCCTGTACCATGAATCACAATAAAAAGTGTTTAATTCTATCAGTCAAGTGACTTATTTCTAACAGCTGCTGTCCAGGGTTATCATAGGCAGGGGACGAAGTAGAATGTTCTATGCATGGTTTGGGAGCGGTAACTATAAAAATCAAAACCAGCAACCATTCTTGCTAAGTCATTAGTTTCCCCTATCAAAGGTGGCACATTGCAGCTTTCTTTGCTCTGGCGCCCTAGGGCTGATGGCATCTCTCACTCAGAAACAGGCAATTGCTGGGAGCTGGCTCTTTTACTAAGATTTCTTTCATGGGCCTGGCTTGTGGAGGCCTCAGATTGCTAAGAACTTGCAAGGACTGGATGAGCCAGAGCTAAAGGCTCTTTCTGGGGTCAGGGTGAGTTTGACTAAGAAAAGCAGGACGGCAGGCAGAGCTCAGTGGTGGAGCCCTTGTCTACCACGGGTGAGGCCCAGACTTCCATCCCCCGCACTGACAAAAGCAGATGCAACCCTTTCTGAAGGGTCCAGGAAGCCACTTCCAGCCCCCCACCCCACCTGGCAGGGCCTCCCCAGACAGCCTGAGCCCCCACTGTGCTCCGGACCCCTTAGGTTCGAACTTCTGTCTCCCACGGTGACCGTCACTCGGGAGGCTGTGGCCTCTTGGAAGCTGGTCTGGGCCGAATGGACATGGTGGGCCACAATCTTCTTCGGGATGCTGACCACGACCTAGGGAGGGAGCAAGGAAGCCTGGTGGTCATGCGCTGTGTGCCAGCTGTGCTGGGCATTTCTACAGCCTCTCACTCTTCCCAGGAGCCCCTGCAGCGCCCAGGGCTTTATCAGATGCAGGGCTGCGGGTGGGCTCAGCAGGGGCTCCTGTGCCCAGCACTGCCTCCTCCTGGAGTCCCACAGGTCTGTGCAGGGCTGACCAGAGCTGCCCACTGCTGCCCTGGCCCTGGCTCCCATCACCCTGTCTTCTCGTCTACCGCTGACCGCCACACGCCGGTCTTCTCTCCACTTCTCCAAACTCCCTGGCTGTCACCAGACCCTTCCGCCTAGGCCCTGTTCCCACAGCACCTCACCTCCGCTCAGGGACACGGTCATCTCCAGCCTTCGGCGTGGGGCTCCAGATGTGCCACCCAGCTGTCCTCCAGCTTCATGTGAGGCACAGTGATGCCCACCTCAAAGCTACTGTGCCCCCCATCCTCTCCCCACCCCTTTGGGCCCCCTCTCAGGGCAAAAACCATCATCAACCAGACCGTCCATGCTGGACCCGGGAGGCACCCCAAGACCCCCTTAGCTCATCCCCACTTCCACAGTACCCAAGCTGGGGTGACTCCATGTGCAAACCCGCTGGTCCTGGCTGAACCTTACCCTCAGTCCTGGAGTGGTTGCGTTGCAGGTAACCCTTCCAAGATACACCCCGGTCTGTATCGTTCTGACTGAAACAAGCCTGTCAAACCCACCAGGCCGTGCCTCTCTGCCTTGGGCAGGCAACGGTGGCAGCTCACGCCCGAGGTGCACCTGCAGACACTGAGCCCACGCTCAATGCTTCCCAGCATGCTGGTGTATTTCATCTTCCCAGGGAACTGAGGCACCCGGACAACTCGCTCCAGGTCACACAGCCATGCAGTGGCCACGATGGGCTCTGAACCCAGACAGTGTGGCTCCGGGCCTCATGCTCTTTTTTGGCGGGGGTGGGTGGGGATCATGCTGCTTGCGTTGCTCGGGATGGTCTCAACCTCCCGGGCTTCTGTGTTCCTCCGGCTTCCATCCCGAGTAGCTGAGACAACAGGTGCACCCAGCTGACCCACGTTCTTCAACATGGCACGCATCTACCACGATCACCCGGCCACAGAGCCAGACCCACGTCTCTGCTCTTAGACCTCACCCACCTAGACTTGGGCGGCCCCCTTCTTTGACCACTCCCAGGGCCTCTTCCGGGAAAGCACCCCGCCATTAATCACAGAACGCCTCTCTCTGTAACCCGCCTGCCCAAACCGCACAGTCGCAGCGCTAAATATGCAAACTATTAGGTTAAACTGCTGGATTCGATAAAGCACACGCTGGCTCTCAAAATGAGACGCATTTGGAACTCAGCCAGACTGGGCTCATTGATTCATTCTCGGCTGGAGATAAACGCGAGAATGGCTTTCATTCGCCTCCAGAAAGACTGCAAAGGTGACTTGCTGGGGGAGGTTTAACTGCTGGTGACACCAAATGTCTGGGCCACCCCGCCCACGGCCAGCACTCCCGCAGGGAAGCACCCTCACTGGCCCGGGCCCTGTGAGTGGGAGCTGGAGTCATCGCCACCAGTTTGGTGCGCGTGACGGAGGCCTGGGTAGCCGTGTCCAGCTCGGAGTTAGCGAGTGGGCAATTCTGACTGCTGTGGACGGCTCCCAGGGTTCGTGTTTCTTCTAAAAAGGGAATCATAACATGTGAGTAGCTGCTGGCCCTGCATCTGTGAACTCCACCGATGATGGATCGAAAACATTCCAGGGAAAAACCATGTCTGCCTAGAAGATGCGCGGCTTGTCTTCCTTAATCACAACTCTCTAAGCACTATGGTCTGATGACCATTTCCATAGCATTTACATCCTATCAGGCTTACAAGGTATCTAGAGATGACTGAAGGACCAGATGCACCCATGGCAACCTGCCCCCCAGGGATCTGCGTGCCTGCAGATCCTGACATCTAAGAGGACCCTGCCACCAAGTCCCTAAAGACAAGACCAGGCCCTTCACAAAGGGGAGGCATTCATAACCTTGTGCCATGGGATTCGTGGCCTCCAAGGGCCAGCTACACCTCGCAGGCTACAGGCCAGGCAGGCCTCTGACCACCCTCGAGCCCCACCTCCTTGTAGGTCCTCAGGTGTCCGGCAACCTCATAGTACACCGTCACAGGTCCCACGTCCTGGGCCACGGCCACTCCTGTCTTGGGGTCCACATGGAGGATGCTGCTGGCTGAGGAGCTCCAGGTTCCTGAGGTGCCTGGGAGAGGAAGCCCTGTGTCACCCATAAGCCACGTCTCTGGGCACTGCAGCCAAGGCCCAGCTGACTGGATGGCTGTGCCAGCCCCGCTTGGTGGGGAGCCCTGTGCCACTGCCCTCACTCTTCTGCCCCTATTGCACCTGTGCGGGTGGGGTGGCAGGTCCCAGGCTGCCCTCACCCTGCCAACACTCCCTGTCTGGAGTCTCTCCCACCCTCTCGTGGGGCTCCACCCGATGCCCTGCCCTGGGATGGCTGGGTGCTGTCCATCCAGGCGCCCCCTGACCCCCAAACCCTCCGCACAGCACAGCTCCTACCCGGTCCCTGCTCACTATCAGGGCCTTTTAGCAAACAGAAAGCAGGTGTTGGGCCCAGCACCTCGACTAGACTTCCGAGTTCAATCACACTATACAATAAACCCAATTAAGAAACTCAACAACCCTGTTCTATTTATGGCAGATCATATTTGTTTTTCTTTAAAGGTAGTGTTTAATTTCTTCTTAAAATGAATTAATGAGGCAAAAATGGGAGCCAGTTGGAAAATAAAAATGAAGCAAATAATGGAGCCTGAGTTCTCTGGCTGTCGGGCGGCACAGGGATGGGTGGAACTGGAAACCAGGAGCTGGTCTGCTGACTGCTTTTGGTTACGCGTCCTAGACCAGTGCCGCTCTGCCCAGGAGCCATCGGCGGTGCAAGACACTGAAGCGACAAAGTCAGTCCCCTGGGTGAGTCCCCACGCCCAGGTTTGCTTGCTGAACACTGGATTAGACAGTGGGGACGTGGGGCATTTCTACAAACCCAGAAGATTCTACTGGGCCTTGCTGTCCTAAGGAGGGGCTGGCAAACTCTCTACAAAGGACCAGAGGGAAAACAGTGTGGGCCATGCACAACATACCATCTCTGTCATCACAGAACCAGTGTAGCTGGGTTCCAATACAACCGGACTTGCAAAACACAGACTGCATGTAGCCCTGGTAGCAGTGCTTCAACCCCTGCTCCAGAGCGCCCTCTACAGGCTCTACCTGTGTGTTTCCTGTGACCGGGCTCCGGCACCTCTTGGGGAGCCCCCACTTGTCCCCGCAAGTGTTGGGGACTCTTACCTTCCAGGCCAATGAGAACAGTGGCCAGGCAGAGGACGTCCCCTACCACCACCGTTCCAGACAGCTCCGGGGAGATGGCCTGCAGGACAGGCAGCGGGACGTAGTCGGAGAGGCCTGGGTGCTCGGTGTCCCACACGCGGAGCAGCGTCAGGCCCGTGCTGACCGTGCGGACCGCGCAGGTGTTATTGGTGGCGCCCTTGCCGATCTGCACAAAGTCGTCTCTAGGGGCGCGTGCAAGAGAGAGGCATGTGCCGGTTCAGCCTCGGGAGGGACAGTCTGAGTCCTCTGCTGAGTGCTGGGCTGGCAGCTGCCACGGAGAGGGTGGCACAGGTGGTCCGAAGCGGCCCCCAGCCGCTGACTCCTGAGCCCTGAGCTGGTCGCTGCTACACAAAGGCCAGACTGACTTCTGTGGTGTAGCTCAGGGAGGGGCAGCAGGGCCCGTTTTCTCCGGGGCTGCTTATGTCCCAGGCTGACATGGAGCCCCATGACCTAAGTCCTCAGGACCACGCCCCCCACTCTCAGCCCTGGAGATGAGGCCACTTTCCTCACCCAGCAGGGGAAGTGACAGAGGCGTGGGGAGGTGACCCAGTCTGTCCAAGCTCACAGGGCCCGCAGGGTCTGAACCAAGCTGCTTCCACCGGGCAATGTCCCTAATGCTGTCCTTTGACGTGCCCAGTCACACGGTGACACTTCGGCTGCAGGTCCCTGGGAAGGGACGGCCACCGACGTCTGGACGTGGCCTCTCCCTTGTGATCTGTCCCCTCTGAGCTGGTCTGTGAACCTCGCAGGCAGCGGTTCTCAACGTTAGACTCACTCAGACTGCAGGGCCCTGGGAACATGTGCTGCCAGCCACCCAGGGGACCTGGGGCAGGACGTCTGGCGGGCCATGTTGAAGCCACGGCTGCTGCCTTCCTCTGGAGACGGCTGCCTTGCTCCTTGTCTCAGGACCAGGCTGCAGCTGCCCTTCAAGCTAAGGGAACTGCACATGGAGCGGGACTGGACCTGACACTCCAGCACTCGTGTTTCCTGGCTGCGTGGACCTGGGCAACTGGCCTGGCCTCTCTGGGCTTCTGCAACCAGCTCACAGAGGACTTGGGTTAGGAAGGGATGTCACCCACATCCTACCTGTTAGTGGCAAAGTTGAGAATGGAATTGTGAGCATGGAAGATGTCTCCAAAGTTGTCGTGGAAGTGGGCGGTGAAGGTCACGGTCATCCCCACTGGCAAGGCCTTTAGGGCCTCCTTGTTGTGGGTGTGCAGGACGGGGCTCATGGAGATTCTCAGGTAAGAAACTGGAGACACCTGGAGAATAGTGTACCGTCTGGCGATGCCCCTGCACTGGGGCCTGGCCTTCTGGAATATTCTCTTCCCAGGAAGAGATGCCTGCCCTGGTAGATCCCATCTTGGGATGACTTGGGGGACTGGCTTCGGGGTTTTCCGAACAGGAAGGTTTTGTTCCTCAGAGAAGCCTCAGCCTGGTATATGGTGCATCATGCCTGTAGTCCCAGAACTTTGGGAGGCTGAGGCAGGAGGGTCATAGTCTGAGGCCAGCCAGGGCAACTTAGTGAGACACTATGTCAAAAATAAAAAATCGAAAAGGGCTGTGAATGTAGCTCACTGCAAAGGCCCTGGGTTCAATCCCTAGTATGGCAAAACAAAAACAAAAACAAAAACCAATCATGTTGCAAACCCCGAACACCAGTCAGGAGCCTAGGACGCAGATCCAGCTCTGTGACCTCACTGGGTCTCAGTTTCTGCACCAAGGAGGCAAGGCGAGTGGAACCAATCATCCCCAAGAGCCGTCAGCCGACAGCCCCACAGTACACAGGTAGGACCTCTGCCCCACGTGAGTCTTAGATCAGTTCCTTCCTGCAGTTTCTCTGTTGCAGACAGGAAAAGTTACCTCTGAGCTATTGTTTTTATGACCCAAAATGGGTAAAACGCACACCTTACCTTCACAGCAATGATGACGGTTTGGTTGGCCCCAAAAGGCTCCTGGGCGGTCACTTCGACAGTGGACGTCCCGACCACAGAGCCAGACACCAGGAAGCCCCGCTCGTCAACGTGCACCACGGGGACCCCCTCGGGCCCATCAAGGACAAGGTAGCTCAGCGCAGCGGCACTGTCCCTTTGGGAAACAAGACACATCTGCTGTCACAGATGGCCCGCCTTCCATGCCTTGGGGTCCGGCCATCTGCGGCTCCCGACTGCTCCTGGGAGACAGGAAGTTGGTCTTGGCCGTGGCACACAAGCCCCGTGGGCTGCTGCCGTCTGCAGCCCCATCACCCAGGAAAGAGCAAATCCAGAAACCCAGTGCTGAGGACAGCATGCCGCCCCCTCCTCGGAGAGCGGCTTCCATGGGGGGTTGGCCAGTGGGGCACGAGTCTGTGAGAGCTGTTGGTTTCGCTGGAGACGTGGGACATTTATTGCAGAGATCATTTGTTTCTACAGCACATGGTTTTCAATTTATTGCAGCAGGGGCGCCCAGCATGGTTGAGAGAGCATGGGGCTCTGAGTCAACAGGACCCACAGCCAGGCCTGAGGCAACCTGTTAGCAGCTGTGCGTGTTTGTCTCTTCTCTGCCTCAGTTTCCTCAACTGCAAAGAGGAAGTGGTGATCCTGCTCTGTCCTATTCTGTAGGGCTGGCAGCAGGACAAAAGCCATGTACCTGCTAAGAAAGGGGTTTTCAAACAACTGACACTGTGGGCGCTGTGCAGGAGACTAATTATGCAGTATTTTACACTGTAATTAATGAAGAAGGAGCACAAAGAACAGACCTCTGGTTGCCAGGGTGAGTTTCCTCTGAGTTCCAGCAAATGCTGTCTTTGCCCCCAACACTCTTTCCCTACCAACTCCCTTCTTAAAACCTGAGGAACTCCTATGCATCCTTCAAGAGCCCTGGGTCAAGCATCTCCCCTAAAATGTTTATGCCCCAGGCTCTTAGTTAGGCTGTGGCTCGATTGTTGCACATCATTTTCTTATAGCCCTTTCCTGCTGTTTTCCTTCAGAGGCACCTAATGTCACTCATCTTTGTGTTCCTGGTTCCTAGTACAGCACTGGGCCCTCGGCTACTTCTTGGATGGATGAACCCTATGCGTGTGCTTCACGCAGTCTGTAACTGGTGGTGTGGCCGATGGAGGCCCCTGCTTGGCCTCTGCACTTGGGTAAAGTCACGTACAGTAAAGGCAGCCCTCAGAATCCCAGGTGGGAACTGCGTTTGCACGCAGCCTCTGAATCAGCGAGACTGCAGGCCTGGGTAGGATGCTAACAGCATCTTTTCCTTGTCAGGCCTGGGGAGGGGCCCAGACTTGCATTTTAACTTGCTCCGGGTGCAGCTGCTGTTGCTAACTCAGGGGCTAACTCAGTGGCAAATCCTAGAAACACAGGGGCATGTGAAAAATTAAATGCTTCCAACTTGGTACTTTCCCCCTTTTAAATACTAGATTTCAGCAGGGAGCAGGAGAATGTGTCTGGGCTAGGGCGGGGAAGGGGAGAGCCCCGGGAGAGGGGCTGTGGAAGAGCAGAAGAAACACAGGAGGAGGAGAGAATGCTGAGGCCGCCGGATTCCAGCCCGGCCCAGAAAGCCTCCCTGAGAGCCGGGCTCCTGACACCTTGACAGATGAGATGTCAGACGCAAGCACAGCTCCTCCACCTCGCTGGAAACAGGAGCTGAGTCACGTACCTGTTTGTCTGAAGCTTTATAAATGAGTTGGGAGACATTAATATTTGTTCTGCTTCTATTTCAGGGTTCAGCAGCCGCAGCTTTTCAAACACCTGGAAAAGAGGGTGAGCCATATTTCCTGTGACACCCAGAGTCTTGTCCAGACCAGGTGTCGCCTGTGCTCTTGCCACGGAGAACGAGAATGAGAAAAACTGTCCCGAGCACCTGCTGCATGGCGGGGGATGTCATGGGAAGGCTGGCTTTCAGGGAGGCTCAGATGAGAAAAAGCAGGTGGATCATGTTTGTACCCAGGGGAGCCGGGGTCACAGCCGCACCGTCACCAGTTACAGAGCGCGGCCTTCCAGCACGGGTGCATAGGGAGCTGGTGCAGAGCACCCCAGGCCTCTGCCCCTTGTGTCCCCAAGACATCCTGCCAGCCAATGTCATCATCTAAGGACAGCCCATCCTCCGCCTTGGGTCTATCTCATTTCCTCTCTTTGCAGCCTTTTGCAGGATTCTGGGATTGGGGTGCCGCAATGGATTGGGTCCAGCAGGTAGCACACCAGACGGTGCCAATCAGATCTGATCCAGCCACTCCCAGGTGCTCCACAGCCCTTGATCTCTCCTGGCACCCACAGGTGCAGCAGGGACTGGGATCTCCGGCCCCTTCTCAGCACTCTGCGCGTGGCCACCGCTGCCTGGGGACCTGTGACTAGGGTGGGCCGGTGCTGTGGGCCTCCCTAGCCTCTCAGCCTGGCGCACACCTTGCTGGGCAGCAGATTCTATTACTGAGCTCCCCAGCTGACTTCTGATCAGACCAGCACGCCATCCCTCAGGCCTGTGCACCTAGGAGCACCTGAGCTGAGCTGACAGGTGACTTTCCAAATGATACTGGCCGGCTCTCCTGCCCCTCTGCTCATGCATGATGACTACATAGAGAAGGCTCTGTTTTCTGATCTGTAAAATGGCTCTGAAGTGAATCATCCATGCCACAACAGCCACAGAGCGGTAGGACTCACGTGATCTGAGCCAGTGGGGCGGCTCCCAAAGGGTGAAGGAGAGAAGCCTTTGGGAGCTGGAAGGGGTTCTGGTGTCAGGCTCAGGGCAGTGTAGGCGGAGGACACCTGCCAGGAGGACGTCGTGCAGAGCTGAGTGGCCTGGCTGACTTTGGCTGAGACACGGAGGGCAGAGCAGGCACAGCCACAAACAGGCTGCCTCCTGTGTCTCAAACAAGCATTCCTCGGCCTCCCTCTTTAGATGGAGGTGACTTAGCTTCCTGTCCACCTCAGGAAAGCAACAGGGCCAGCATCATGGGAGACGGCAAGGGACATGCGACCTCATGGTCAGGTGGACAAGGGGGAGCGGCAGGGGCTGTGGCAAACTGCAGCACAAGCTCTGCCGAAGGGCAGGCTGTGTCTCATTGCCAGGTGATTCCACCACAGGGCAAAACACCGTGTTTCCGGGCCAAGCTGTCCACTGATTTTCACATGGGATCTTCCTACTTTTAAATATTGGTAACTAATAATTGTTTCAAAGGCTGGAGTGAGCCAAGGAGACCACATCTGGGGGCTGGACCCAGCTTCCCTGCTTTCTGATTTCCTCCAATTCCACCTGCTGACCCGCAGGGAAACTGAGGCACAGAACTGCAGGGACCCAAGTGTGACTGAAGAAATTGGAAGCTGCCTTGCATTTTCGGACAGCTGCTAGAATTTACTGTGTTTTTGTTTTAAGCAGGAAGAGCACGTAGTTGTACACGTGTGGGTATCTGTGTACGACTGTTTACCTGTGTCTCTCTGTGGATGTGCACGTCTGTGTGCGTGTCTGTCTGTGTGAATAAATGTGTGCCTCTCTCTGGCCTTTGTGTGTGTGTCTGTTTAGATGCCTCTGTGTGTGCACAGACGGCTGAGAGGATTGGCAGATGAGCATTTCTGTCTTTGGAAATCTGCTTCCCTGGCCCCGGTTTGGCATATGCTTGTGTTAGAAACGTTTTATTTTAGCTGGGCGCAGTTCAGTGTGACAGTGCTTGCCTAGCATGCACAAGGCCCTGGGTTCCATCTCCAGCACCACCACTGGAAGAAGAAGAGGAAGAGGAGGAAGCCGAGGAGGAGGAGGAGGAGGAGGAGGAGAAGAAATAATAAGCCCCCTTCCTCCTTCGGCCCTCCCTTCTGATACTGGGGATGGAACCCAGCCCCTTTTACTTTTTTTATTTTGCAATAGCGTCTTGCTAAATTGCCCAAGCTTGCCTGAAACCTGCTATTGTCCTGTCCTGGGCTCCTGAGTAACCTACATTACAGGCTGTGCCACTTTGCCCAGCTGTCTATCTCTTCGTGAGCAGGGGGCTCAAAACCAGTTTTCTTTTCCATGATGTTTCATGGATGCTCTTTTCTTTTGCAGTACAGGATGACCCCAGGGTTACTGGAGCCTCAGGGATTTCAAAGTCTAGGGAGAAGAAAGAAGTTCCAGGAGCTCAAACTGCTTTTTAGAACCAATTTACCAACTCCTCTGCTCTACAGAGAGCCCGCAGGGCCGTCCTCTCAGCGGGAGGGACAGGCTGGAGGGACCTGCGAGGCCAACAGGCTCTGGGCAGGAGAACTGCCAGGTTCCAGCAAAGCGCCACAAGTACAGAAGCGCAGACCATTAAATGACGGGCACAAGTCGGGCACGATGAGCTCCAGCTTCTTCCCACCATCAGGGCACAGCCCAGAACTCAGGCTCAGCCAGATGCCATTTCTGGAACATGGCAACTTGTTTCCGCCTACCACCTGGCCAGCCGGCCCCATCCGTCCTGGTTCTCTCAGCCCATTTCTGGCCTCCCCAGGACCACATGCACCTGCTCTATGCTCCCCACTTGTAATGGCTGATACATTGTGTCAACTTGACAAGTTTAGAAGCTTAACTAAGTAACTCAGCAGTTGCACATCCTGAGGTATAGAGGATGCTCCTTTGGGTAGCTGTATAAGCTCTAAGATATGATGGTTGAGTCACTGTGTCAATTTGAGAAGTTCAGAAGTTTAGCTAAGCGATTTGGCAGGGGCCAGGGTCCTCATTTGTAAACATCCTCAGCCTGTGCAAGAGGAGGCCAGGGAGATGATGTGAATACTAGACCCACCCTGGAGGGGTAGCCTGCTTACAATATAAGGCAGGAAAAGAGCCTCCCCCTTTGCTCTTGCTGCTTTTGCTGTCCTCTGCTACCTTGAAGTGTTGCCCCTATGCCATGCCAACCTGCCTTAGAGTTAGCTGATTATGGACTGAAACTTCCAAAACTAGTGAGCTAAATAAACCTTTCCTTCCTTAATTTTGGGCATTGGGTATTTTGTCTCAGCAATGAGAGAAAAACAACTAAGACACCACATTTGGCTGAATTCCTTGATTCTCCCTAGTAGATGGGGGAGGGGTCCTTCTCCACATCAATGCCTGAGGCCTGAGCTTAGAGGCCAGCAGAAGGACCGCTGGAGACCAGGAAGGAGAGGGACCCGTCTGTACCACTCTCCGTCTTGCAGGTGGCTGCTGCTCCCCTCTTGTATTTAGACATATTTTTTACCTGGATTTGGATCTCATCCGACAGCTCTCTGGCGAGGCTGTGCAGCTGTCCAGCTCGGGGCTCCTGAGCTTTGACCACCACCCGAAGCCCAGTCCGGCCTTTCACCCGGGCATGCACTGCCATGGCAAAGTTGTACTGCGACGGGAGCCGGATGGATGCCTGGGGAAGACATCAGACATATTTGCAGGGGAGAGGCCCAGGACCCTGCACCCCCAAAGGGGCAGATGGATGGAGACAGGGCCCCGGATTCCCCGGTGCTTGGGTCCTGAGGCCTCTGCCCCCAGCTAAACCCCAGCTGCACACACAGCAGTCAACTTCACATGGTGTGTCACCATTCCCCGAGGGGTGGGGGTGTGGAAGTCCCTGCATTCTCCCTGGGAAGCCCAGGTTCTTATGGTGGAAACCCTGACACCCACAGGAACCTGGGATTCATGGAGTTTCCAGGCAGAGCCTGCTGTCTCAAGATATCTGTGGATGAGTCACATGGCCCGTGTCCCATGTGAACATCTGGGGAAGTCCCTGGTAGTGGGGACAAGACCTTGGCCCCACCAGCGGGAGGAGAACAGGGTTGTCCTATATGATGCAAACTCCGGGATGCTTTCAGGAAATCCTGTCCCTGTGCTGTCCCTGTTCCTAGGACTGCAGCCCCACTGTCCACTGGGGCAGCTCTGACCTCAGTGAGCACAAAGCCAGTGATGGAGGGTCTGCCTGCCTTCCAGCTCTGAGATCCCAGGGGCTGGGAGCCCCGGGCAGAGCTAACAGAAGGGGGCTGTGCCTATAGGGCAAAACATGAGGAGCTCCCCATGATGGCAGAGTGTTGTCATCTGGGGAAGGGGTCAGGAGCTGCAGTCAGGCCCTGGGACCTTCTGGAACTTGTGTGCCTTCCCCCAGGGCTGCACATGTTGATGCCGTTATAGATACAGAGTTGCTCACAGCTGTGGCCCGGATAGGGCCTGACTTCCTGGAGAAGGTTCTTGCGTTGGAAACCTGGTTGCCATGGCAACGTGAGGGAGGTGGGGCCTGTAGGTTCGGGGCTCAGTGCAAGATGACTGGGTGGTTGGGACCTTGGTCTACTCTCATACAGGCTTCCACCTGGGGCCACGCCGAGGCTGGCACCATGCTCCTCAGGCTCCAAAACTGCGCTGCGTCCAGAAACCTTGTCTTCACAAGGTACCCTGCCCAGGTATTCAGTTACAGCAGTGGAACATACTTGCCCTCCCTACTAAGCCACCTGCAGTGCTTGGGGAGGGGAGAAGAGCACCCCTTTGCATGAGGGGAGAAGGCAGACAGGGGCCAGGAACACTGGGCACCAAGGTCCTGCGAGATAATGTGGCAGAACTCTGCTGGCCCCACAGACGCTGGCGTGCGGAGGGCTTCTGGTAGGGTGGTTACCTCGTGGTAGCGCCCTCGGAGGTCCAGGATGTCCCGCTTGGTGACAGACCAGTGGAAGGTCAGGCCTGGTACAGCATTTCCAAAAGAGAACGGGCTCTGGCTGTTGGTGATCCCCGTGACATAGACAGGCATCTAGGGGAGAAGCCAGGCCTGGTAACCACCAGCAATCCCAGCGCTGGGATACCCTCTCTCCCAGAAAGCTTCCCGCTGCGTCGCACAGGGTGCAGGTGTGGGAACTTCTGACGAAACACCCCACAGCCCAGCCAACAGTAGGCCCAGCCGCCACCCACCCTAGCCCTACCCTGCCACGGGATGTGCGTGCCAAGGCCCAATTCTGATACGATCCCCAGCGGCTTTGGGAGGTCTGCAGCCACCTGCAGCAGCACAGCTCACCCACGCCACGTGCTCCACGGGCATGGGAAGGTGGGTGCAGGCATCGGCCGGAAGGATGTGAGGATGGAATCAAGGACAAGGATGCCAGGCCTGCAGGAGAAGCCTCATTGGCGCCCACCTGATGTGGAGTGGGGAGCAGGGCCTGTGCTGAGCTGATAAACAGCAGCTCCGCAGAGGAAGCAGAAGTGGAGACATCTCACATGGGGAACTATGCTCTCCCAGTGCCTCATTCCAAGCCAGGGTTGGGAGCCCAAGACCTCCAGTGCCCACGGCTCCTGCCTTACCTGGGTGCCTGTCCGCATGCGTGTGATGGGGGCCCGGATCCTCACTGCCTGGAGCTGCAGCACCTCCACCTCCACGAGGTCCTAGGATAACAGCCCTGGGGCTCAGGCTGGCTGGGGAGGCTGAGGCTTCTGCTCAGCGTTGCAAGGCTCGGGAGCAGCCACACGCTGTCCCCGCCACTCTCATCTGCTCTGGGCGTGGCTTGTCTCAGGGAATCCCCTCCTGCTCTGTGACCTGCGCACCCATCTGATTCAACTGCTTGAGGTCAGCACGGCAGACCCACTGCAGAGACCGGAGTCTGCTCTTCTCAGGCCTGGCAGCCCCACTGGGGTGAGTCTCAGATCTTCCTGCTACCCTCCTTCATCCTGATCACTGACTCCTATTAGTCTGAGCAGAGATCAACTTTGCTGCGTTCTCCACAGTGCTGCTGACACGTGCTGAACTCAGGCTACCAAAACCCTCCAGCCTTGTCAATGTGTGTGCACGGTGAGCTCGTGTTTTGGGCCCTGTGCTGGAGCAAATGCCTGGCACTCACAGGCCCTCGGTAGCACCCCTTCCCTTCCTGCCCTCTGCTCCTCCCAAGGCTTTGCCCCCTGCGGCTACTGCTGCTTCTGTGGCCTGGCTGGACTCACGGCACCGGAAACCTCAGAATCCCATGCTTGGCAAGGGCACGCACCTGCCTGGCCTCTCAGACTCAGCTGGTGGGCCTTGTGCTGCTGAGGGCCATAGGACCTTCTCCCAGCCTTCCCTGGGGCCCAGCAAGGTCGGACACAGAGCAGAGAGAGGGCCTTAGGGAGCTCAGATCGGGCGCCTCTGGCTGAATTTTCAGCTGCCTGCCCTCTTGGCCACCTGGGCCCTGGGGACGAGGAAGAGGAGCCAATTCCTGATGCTAAAACCCTTCCTTTCGGGTGAGGGAATCAAAGCAGGGCCTCTTCGGCTCCTGCACTTTACTCTCCGGGCCACCTGTCTGCACCCTGCACACCACCAGGACAGCGTCACACGCTCAGTGCTTTCTTGTCGTCTTTGTGGTATCGCTACACAGAAATTGTGGCATGCCGCGCAGCCACTTCAAAAGCCTTTGCGGTTTAACCAGGATACCTGGAGGCCAACGCTGGAACTGCTGGGAAAAGGAGTCAGTGAGTGAACGCCAGTGGGATCAAAGTCAGCCTTGGGACTTGTCGGGCCCCTGCAGGGCAGCATACTCGGCCGAGCCTGCGGGCGCTGTGCTTAGATGCTCTGAGTACAGAGCCCTCCTGGGGGCATGTGGGACGGGGACAACAGACATCTGAGAGGACGCTTGTCCACAGCCACTGCGCGTGCCCTGGCACTGTCCTTAGCGCAGCAGCTTCCCGTGTAGCTTTGAGAGGACCACAGAGTGGAATCCCTGTGATGCCCCTGCACATCACGGAGGGCAAAGATGTCAGGGGCCCCCACATGCCCTTGTACTTCTCATCCCTGAGCCTTGCGGGGGTAGGAGACCAAAGGGCGCCCAGCCTGGGAAAGAATGGAAACTGGTGTCTCCCTACCAACAAGGGGCAGGGAGACCCCTCCCGGGGAGAGGACCACTCCAACTTGGCCCCCCAACTCCTCTGTGACTACAGAAGGGGATCTGGGAATGTCCTCATGCTGGCAAAGACACTGGGCGCAGACTTAGCCTCTAGTGGCGCAAAAGACATTCGTGGATGACTCGGGTTTTCTTTTTCCCCTGAGATACAAATCCAGCTCTCAAAAACGCTGGGTTTCCAGTTACCCACGCTGACGGTGCACACCTCTGTCACACACAGTGTGGCTCTTCCCACTCAAACCCTGATGGAAAGGAAGGTGCTGAGGGCCCAGGGCTCTGATGTCATCCCAGGGTGCAGGGCGGTGGCCGTGGGCCCCTGGCTGGTTTCTTAGATAACTCATAGGCAGAGTGGATGGTAACAGAATACATGAGGGTGCCATGAGGACGGGGAGGTGAACATAAAGCGTTTGCCAGTGCTATGGCTGCCACCACCTGAAGGCTGGGTCCCGTGTGAAGCAGCTGGAAGACATGGGCTGACCCAGCCTGGCGAGGGGCAAGCTCAGGCTGCCCTCAGGCAGGGAGACTGCAGACCCCGAGGGCAGGACCACGACCCTCTGAGAAGCTTCTCAGGAGGCAGAGCCCAAGACCAGGGCTCCCACAGTTGCTGCACCCCTGGCCACACTGAAACCAGCAGCCTGGGACCCAGGGTGCCCACCCCAGAGGTCCCTACCCAGGGCAGGTTTGGAGGGGCCAAGCCCAGGCAGCACGTCTGATACCTGGGAGATGACGATGACCTTGCCGGTCTCTGCATCCACTGCCTGCACGACTCCTGACACGGTACCGTTGCCAACGGAGAGCCCTTGCACCAGCCCCGTGCCACCCACGACGGCGATGCTCTCATTGCTGATGGAGAAGAGGATGTTGGACTGGGGCTGCGGGCCGCCCTCCGAGGAGATCTGTGGGTGAGAAGCAGCGGTGACTACCATTACCTGTGTCCACTGCCACCCACATAGCTGTCACGGGGCTGGAACAGGGCCCCTGGAGGCTGCATTGCTGGGGCCTGGTGGCAGGGGTGGGATAAGGTAGACAGGACAAGGCTCTGAGCACCTACCTGCATCACAGCCCCAATAATCAGCGTCACCTTCCTGGGCATCAACCTGAATGGGGGGAACACCTAAGGTGGAGACAGAAAAGAGGGCCCAAGGGATCAAGCTGATGTCAGCCACACACACGTCACACTCAGCATCCTGACAGCAGTTCTCAAAGTGGTCTGCAGCCAGCAGTACTGGCATGGCTGGGGACTTGCTAGGAACATATGCCCTGGCCCAGGTGAGACACCCAGAGCCAGAGGCGGGCCCTGGGGTCCAGGACCTGACAAGCCCTTAGGGACCCACTGGTGCACGTCCAAGTTTATGATGCTCTCGCGTTCGAGTCTCCTGAGTCCTCTTTTGAATGTTGCTTGTGTCACTAAATATTTCCAGACTTCTGAAATGAAATGCCTTTCCAACAGTGCCCTCCTTCACTGGCCTCCAAACCTTTCTCGCTAGGGAAGAGGGAGCAGCCAGAGTGGACAGGGATGGGAGGGCACCGGCCCTGTGCAGGGCAAAGACCCACGTCCTTCTCAGGCATCCCTTGCAAGTCCTGCTTGGTGTGACAAGTGCTGCCGGTGAACGGCAGAGAGGCTGCTGTGTGCCAGAGGATTGGTTTTGCAGGCTGTGCTATTTATAGGTGGAAATGAATTCCTCCGCACAGTAGGAGGAAGGTGCACTTCCATCTGGAGACACAACTGCCTCCACCAGCTTGGGAGCGCAGATTAATAAAGCCAGCCAGGGCCGTGCAGTCTAGGCCCGCGGTGGAGGCAGGCAGCATCCGGTCTAAGGCCGCCGCTAATGGATGCATTTGGGCAGGGTTTCCTGGCTCTGGTTGCCTTGGCCTCTGGCTACAGTGGAGTGACTGTGAAAACCTAATAAATGACACGAGAAGGCTCACATCACACATGGAGACCACATGGGGACCTCAGAGTTCGCCTCACGCAGGAGCTGCCTGCACCAGGAGTTGACTTTCTGGTCCCCTCTGCTTGCACGGCCCCATGGCTGGTACCCACTGCCCTCCAAGTACCTAGCCTGAGGATGGGAACAGATGGCTGAGTTCTCCCACTTGCGACCCAACATGTGCCTGGCACCCCTACTTGGCCACATTTCCCGGTAACAGTCCCCGCCTGTGCCCTTGCCGTAGGACAAACCTCACCCTTCCTCAGAGCCTCACAGACTTCCTGCACCACAGAGCGATGGGAGAGTCGCCAGGCCCCCGAGTGTCGGTTCCACCAGTTCAGTGGTGTTGCTCTCAGACCCTGTGACTGATCTGAGGCCAGGGCAGGGCACAGGCTCTCCGTGGTGGCAAAGACACGCCCCTCTCCAACAGGAAGAAAAGAACCCATTTTACCTCGATCTGCTGTGGGGCTGAGGTGATCCTCTGTCCAGCTTTATCAGTCACACTGGCAGTCAGACTGGTCTGGCCAATGGCCATGCCATGCACAAGGAATGCGGCCGTGTAGTCGTCGAGGGCTTCGTCCAGGGCCCTGAGATGGAGGGGAGCGCTGGAATCCCTCCTTGGGAGAGGTGGAGGCAGGACCCGTGCTGTCCCCGAGGTGTCCTCCCTGACCCCTGGCGGGACTCACACTAATGTGACAATCTGGGAGGCTGCCCGGAGCTTCAAGTCCATGAAGGCAAAGTACTTGGCCAGGAAAGGTTTCTTGTAAGAGTCCAGCACGCGGACGTGGGCCTTGACTGTCTTCCCAATCTCCACCTGTGACATGAGCGCCAGAGGCTGGGGGCAGCATTTCTTCAAAGGACCAGTTCCCCGACTGCGGCACCTATGACTCTATGACAGCTTTGCTGACCTCAAACCTAAGGACCTGAGAACTTGGGCCATCACCTGGGATAACCTCTGGACTCAGCCAACCAACAAACGAAAAGCAATTAAATACTTGCTGTACCCCAGGCTGGGGGTGGGTACAGAGAAACACAAATTCCATTTCCTACTCTTAACAGACTAAGAATCTAATTAAGGAGATTAGATAGCTCTTAGAACAGCGGCAGGCATACAAAAGGAGCTCAATAAATGCTCACTGACCCAAGAGCCCAGACCTACAGCAAGTAGAGATCAGAAATGCTTAATGAGAACAGAGAATGCTAGTAAGAAAATTAGCAGCGGAAACAGGACAATTGGAGAACACTCAAAGCTAGGTAAGAGAATATTCACCTCCTAACTAACAATACACTGTAGCTGAGGAGTCTAGGCCACACAAACGTTCCCCTACGCATTATCAACTGCTGCATCTACTAGGAAAAACAGGAACCTGACGGCAGCGCTCTGGAAGCCTAGCCTCACTTACCTCAGCTATTTGGAGTCATAAAAACCCCTGTTTACAAGAAAGAAAAACCGAGATCTGTTCTTTATCCACTTTCCAAGAGCTCTTGGAATTGGTGAGTTTTATGCATTTGCCACTGAAATCCCAGAGGATCTACCTCCTGTATTCTGGGGAGAAAGTTCCTGCTCAGTAAGGTGTGTACCTGGCTGCTGAGTCACCACCTTGAGCCACAGAACATGAATTCCCACATCAAGGGCAATGTGGAGCCAACCTGGAGTGGAATTTACTGCCAACTCTTACTGGTGTCAACGGGGACAAGGAAATATAACATCAGAAGCAACCTTGTGCCTACCACACAGTGTGAAACCAGGACAAACAGCAACAGCCACGAGGACAGCACTGTCACAGCCGTGTGGCTTTTTAGGTTTCTATGGATCAGCAGAGGGACCGCATCAGGAAGCTTGCACCAACCTTGTCCACCACTCGGACGTACAGTTCCTGAATGTCTGAGACGTGAACGACAGCCTTTGCCGGGGACGAGAAGGCCAGGCACAGGTCGTGGATCATGATGGTCGTGGAGCCCGGGAGCAAAGGGTGCACCTGTGAGGTAGAAGTGGCTTGGTCACAGAACTGCGAACTCCTTTCTGCTCACGGGGCCTTGAGCAGTGCCTCACCTCATGGAAGGCCATCACCCAGGGATTACCAGGCTAGCACTTGGAAGCACCAGACAGGGACGATCCTAACCCAGACAGGGCTCTGCCTACCTCTGGTCAGCCAGCATGAGCTGGGAATACAGACACAGAGAGAGCACTGATCTAACTGCACATTTTACAGAAAGAAGAAAATGGGCATTTGCATGTTCTGTGTTTGTCTACACAACACAGGCTTGCTGCAACTTGTATCACTTGGGCGTACATTTCAACTGGGTGCTTTTCTGGGCTGGGCAAGCACGGACAAGTCATGAGGCTGTGGGGGAGCACACAGGCTGTCGCACATCTGGACGTGGTGCTGTTGCTTGCTGTTTACAGTCTCATATCTGGGGGTGGCGAGGGTAAGGCATACAGTAAGCCGTTTAATATCTGCAAAGCTACAATTTCGGTATCAGGAGCCCGTAAAAATCCACCAGGTTTTGGACCCAAGGGAGACAACTAACTGTGATCACATCACACCTTGGTTAGAACTCTTCAGCGGCTGCCCAGTACACAACAGAGGCACAGGCTCAGTGCAGCCAGGTCATCCCACAGCACACTGCCCCATGGTCCTTGAGCTCCAGCCACACTGGCCTCTTCTCTGGTCCTCGCAGTCAGAGAGTTCCTGCCTGTCTGCCTTGGGGCCTTGCAGTCTACCTTGAAGACCTGGGACTCTTGGACTGGGGGTGCAGCTCAGTGATAGAACACTTGCCTAGCATGAGCAAGACCATCCCTAGCCCTTAAATGATGGTTTGGGGACGCTTCTTTTCCCGGCCTTACCCGATGGCTCCAACTGAACTTTCAGGCACTGGTTTCCCTTATCCTCCTAGCGGCTCATCACTATTCGTAATTCGGGATGGATGCCAGCACCTCTTCAGCTTCCCCTTTGGGCTGTCCTCAGCCCACGGTAGCCTCAGGAGGGAGCCAGGTACCCGGCATAGCCTATCCCCCTGTACCGGTGCCTTGCTTAGATAAAGGGTCACGGCTCTGAGGAATTCTGATAAAGTACAGAAACTCGATGCTGCTTCAGTCTGCTTGGCTGTATCACAGACAGCAAAACCAGCTTAGTTAATAAGGACTTGGAAATTCCACAAAAAGCTCTGCAAAGACCATGTGCCCTCATCTATTCGGGAAGTACTGATTCTCATCCAACCCCTTTGATGTATAGATGGGGAAATTGAGCCCTGGATGATGCGACAGGAACAGAGCTTTGAAGGGATAGTGCTGAGGACCAGACGTAGGTAGCCTAGTCCCAGTCTGGGGCTTCCTCTTGCATACCCTCCACTTCCTGGGAGAACAGGACTGGGTGCCTCCAGCAACCAGAACAGAAGCTCCTGGCAAGACAGGAGGAAGAGGAGTCCGCAGGAAGTGGCCCTACTGAGGAAAGCCCACGCCCACAGGTAGCCGGAGGCATGCAGGACCGGCAAGCTGAGCCTGGCTGCCAACAGCCAGTATAACGGAGCTCAAGGGCACAGCTACACAGACAAGGCATGTCTGGGTCATTTCCTAAGACGGCTTCAAGTAGATCGACCCAGATCTCCGGGGCGGGAGCTATGCTTATGCTCCAAAACGACAGGGATAGGATTTGAGTTGCCGCACAGCCAGCTTGGTATTAAATGGAGGCCAAGGAGTGGTCAGGGAGCCACCGGGTGCCTGGGTTTGCTGTGAATGATTATTACATTTCTCTCCGAGGAAGCCCATTGTGAAATCACAGGGAGGAGTGGAGTTTTCCTTGAGAACACAGTCTGAGGCCCGGATCCGATGCTCACGTGGAAGCTGCTGCTGTCAGGAGCTGGCATGTCCTTCATAAGACGAGGAAATTACAGTGCGCCCACTGCCCCCAGACCCACGCAGGAGAACGCAGGCGGAGGCCCCACCACCACCTTCAAAGGGACCATTTTGCATTTTTTAAACAAAGCCATAAAATGGTGGTGGGGAAATCAATTCTTCTTCCACTCCATTTCCCAGAGGACGGACGTCTTGCCACCTCTGGATGACAGAAGTGGTGGAAGGTGTCAAGCCGCAGTCACAGGAGGGCCTGGCCTACCCCACACCCCGGCGCGCATCAGCTCCCGTCAGCCCCGTCATGGTGCTTCCAGGGGGGGCTCTCGAGGCCACGCAGGAGAGAGACGCTGTGTACAGGGAACCGAAGGCGTGGCTGCCAGCTGCTGGCAAAGTGGCGCCTGCACTGAGTGTGTCCAGACTGCACGAGTGGCCCACACCGCCCTGCTCCTCCCAGCATCTGTCTGGGACCCAGGTGCTGCTTGGTGAGAATGCCTGGGAGGGAGAGGAGGCGGGCCAGCCCACACCGAGCACAAATTCTGATTTCTGTGTTGAAGGTGCCACCTGAGAACGTCAGCAATAACTGAGCCCAAGGGAGAGTCCTGTCATCGGCTGGGAGACAGCGAATGCATTACAGCTCATTAAGAAACCACGACATCCAGAGGCGCCCGCCAGGCCCCAGGGTTCTGGCTGTGTCCTCTCGGCTCCCCGCTTCCCTGGGCTCTGATCACACTTCAGACTTGTCTCCTGACGGGGTGTTTTGGAGAGGAGCGAGGACCCTATCAGTATTTCTGAGTGTCACTGGAGCCATCAGCTTCCATTTCCTCCAGTAGGCTCGGCCATGTGTGGTGGGCTATGCCCCGCCTGCAAGAGGGTGAGACCTACGCCCTGGGTGCTCAACCCTCAGAGCCCACAGGGAATAACGGAGCTGGTACAAAATCAAGGCACCACGGAGGGCCAGCTCTGGCCCCTTGAGGGTGGGGCTGGGGACATGCACCATGACTCAGAGGCCAGGCTCACAGATACACCTGCGTGCAGCTCACAGACACACCTGTGTGCAAACTCACAGACATACCTGCGTGCAAGCTCACAGACACAACCTTGCAGCCACCACCTCCCACAGGCCTCATTCCCAATGCGCCTACATGGACGCCCAACCATGCCATGACGCCACACGTCACAGGGCCAGGACAGACGGCGGCTTTGTCACTGCTGTAGCCCTGGCACCAGCACAGCGCCTGGCGCATGGCAGGCACAGGAGCCTTGCTGAATCAGCGCACTGACTGGGAGTGTTAAGTGATCAGCGCACAGTGGGTCTCTTCCTTCCCCTTGCTCTTACAGTGATGCAGGCTCTGCTCAGAGCACTCATTTTGAAATGCAGGGAATCTTGGAGAAGAAAAAAGCTGTAAGTTTAAATCAGGTAAACACCCCTCTGTGCCAGCCAGCCAAAAATGAAAGAAAGGCACCCTTGCGAGCAGAAGTAATCACAGCCCCACACAGCCCGATGCATTGTGTGGGCATAAAGAGCGCCACCAGAGCTCCGTTGCGCGACGCACACTTGTCTTGCAGAGACACTGCCAGGAAGCCGCGCACACCCAGGGGCCATTCTTGTGTCCCGAATGTGCATCAATAGGGAAGAAGCAAGCATTTTCTAGGAGCTGAGTGAGGAACGGCTGTGGGCTTTCTTGTCTCTCTGATTAAGGGAAATGAGAATGCAGCTAATTAGCAGCTGGAAAACGCCAAAAGAATGTGTGAATGTGTCCTTCAGAAACAGTTCCCTGAAGGAGCTGTGAGGAGGACCTGTCACAGATTATCAACACTGTCTAAAATCCCTCCTGTGGGTTATGGGACCACTTTACACCTGGAGTTGTGGGACTCTGCCCCAAACCCTAGACGGGAGGAAGCAGAAACCAGTGGGCAGGGTCCTCGTGGGATGTGCTGGGTCAGGAGGAGCTCTCGGGGGCCTGGGTCACAGGTGCCAGCCTAGTCCTGAGGCCACACTTGCCTGAGGCACTCTGTCCCACTCAACAAGAGCCGACCAAAGCAACGCGGATGGGACAGTAACCTGTCCACAGTGCAGAGGGAGAACTGTGACAGCTCGGCTGCGGCCCTGTGTAACACGGGGGCACTGATATTTGTTGAAAATCCAGAGGTAATCTGGAATGGCAGCATTTTTGGGCTGCACAGGGCTCACAGCTCTCCTGGGGAAACTTGGTTCTGATGCTGGAATCTCACCCTGACTCTTTCAACAAGTGTCCGGCTTCTGCTTGAATGACTCTAGCTTCTCACTACCTACAGAGGCAGCCCAGTCCACCGCTGACTCTTAGGCCTGGACAAGAGTCTCTCTTCAGACACGTATCTGCCCGTGGGGCTTAGTCAAGTGGTCCTGCACCAGGTCAATGAGGTGTCAGTGGCAATTTTCACAACTCTCCTAACCTGAATGCGGCTTCTAGATAGCACAGGTGTTGTGATTAATCTCTAGAAGGACAGCAAGATGGGGCACATCTCCAGCTCTCAGAGTCACTTACAATTGAAGGCTTCCCTTTTAGTATCATGGGCTTGATAAGGCACGTTCCTCACCTGGCAGTAGGATGAATGGCTGAGGAATTACTTCTTTCATACAGGGAATAAAAATGCTGAGGGGGCTGGGGTAGAGGCACACATCAGTAGTCCCAGCTACTCAGGAGACTGACACAGGATGGCTGCTTGACCAGCTCAGCAGCAGCGAGACTTGCAATTCACACACACTGGTCCCCAGTGGTGAGCAGATGTGCTCGCCACTGGGAGGCACAGCATCACTCGAGAGGCCCTGCCCTCTGTGAGCCTGCCCGGCTTCTCACTCCTTCCCTGGGAGTGCACCGTGTGAAAACATCCTCACCACAAGACAGCCAGAAAACACAGCCAACACCACAGAAGGTTTAAAAGCAAAAACCAACTAAAATAACTAAAACATCTGTCTCTTCTTCTTTCTTTCATTCTTTTTCTTTTCTTTCTTTCTTCCTCTTTCTTTTTCTTTCTTTCCTTCCTCCCTCCCTCCCTTCCTTCCTTCCTTCCTTCCTCCCTCCCTTCCTTCCTTCCTTCCTCCCGAGACAGGGTCTCACTGTGCTCCCTGGCTGGCCTAAATATCCT